AAAAAAAAAATAAAAATATTTAAGAAAACGCCCCCCCCGGAAAAGGAAAAAATTTTAAAATTTAAAAAAAAAAAAAAAAAAAAAAAAAAAAAAAACAACAACCAACAACCGTAAACAAGAACAAAAATAATAATCACACACAAACGAAACCTTAAATAAATGAATCATGAAATCTTTTAAAACAAAATTGCCCTTCAAAAGATATTATTCATCAGAATGAAAATGACGAAGCTCGTTTCAATTCATCGGTGCAATAAATTGATTAATTGCTGATTAGCAAATGGAGTCGCTGCTGAAGGTTTCGCAAGACTCTCCATGTTCGATTTTCACCGGGTCGCGAAGGGAAAATGTTTTTATGTTGCCAACAAGGCACCAGCAACAATTAATCACGATTATTTACTAGAAGCTAATAACAGCACTTGGCCTTGTCAAGTCAAAAGATTAACCATTTTCAGTAAATTAAAAATGTTTAGATGATTTCTTTTATTCATGTTTATGTCTGTCTGTGTACTTCTGAAACAATAAAATCCAGCATAAATTCAAATGATCAATCGATATTTAGATTTTTTTTTAAATAATCGAATCAACTTAATGTGTAATCATTCCACTGTTGAAAAAAGACCTTTTAAAATGAAGCATTAAAAGCCCCAATTTATGACTTTGACCCTGACAAGTTCTGACCAGAACTGTAAATCCGCAGCGCCTCAGAGAAACAAAAAAAAAGGAAAATTACGACGTGATCGACGGCTTCACCGGCGTTCCCGACGTCGTAAATCGCAGCCCCATGCTGTTTGTGTCATGTTAATGACATATTAGGAAGGATAAATCAAAATCACTGTCCTACGTTCTGCAGACTCTCTCGCTTAGAATAATGTCGATCTCCGAGTGCGTTTGTCATCTTTACAGTGACGATGATGGAAAAACTGGATGTAATAACTTTTGCTCGTTAAATGAGTACAGATTGACTGCTTATAGCTGAGTGTCAGGGCGGCGCAGAGTCAGTGGAGCTAAGGCTCATGGGAGGAATACCAAAACTCAGCCAACTCCTCCTGAGGCTGGACTCTTTTCCGAACAAAAATATCCTTTGTTCGCTGCTGTGTAAGTGCGTGTCTGTCTCAGTCCTGGCTCTGATTATGTCACAAACTGCTTGTCACAGTCTGTTGTGTGGACAGTAGGTTGTCGCATCAGCACTGATGCTTGACTCTCAGAGGGAGTCTGGACTTTCTGTTTTCTACCAACCGTTGTTTGGAGAGATTCCCTCCTCTCCTCCGTTCAGGTAAATGGATCTTAACTCTGAACCACCGAAACCACAAATCACCTGCACTCAGACTTATCTATGTATTTGTGGCTTGCTGCTCTGACTTTATATGGCTCCATAAAGTACCTCAAAGCTTCCTCTGACTACATGCAAAGCATCTCTGCCAACCTGCCGGGAAGTGGATTCGTGATAGTCGCAGCTCTGCGACTATTTACCATGTAGTCTTAGATTTCTAAGAGAAAGACTTTTATGTGTTTTATTTGTAGTCTGTTGTATTCTGTTGCCTTAAGTGTTGAATTGGAAAACAATGATGGCTTCCCTTTGAAGGAGTGAAGTTGAAAATTAATATTATGAAAAACTTTTCTGCTTTTTCTTCCCATGCTCATGTTGGATTGGGAAGTATTCTTTATGTCTTTGCCAGAAAGTCGTTTCGTTTAATCATTAACATGTAGTGGTTATTAAGGACAAGTATTACACAAACTGCTGTCCTAGCATTGACGGAGGCTGTTGGGCATTTAATGGCCAACAGCCATTAAATTTCCATCAATGTTTCAATGTTCTCAAGAAGGTGTGAGGATAAAGAAAACACCCACGTGTCCCAGCCAAGTCGGTGTCCGTAGGGGAACAAATAAAGCCATCTATCCACTTATCTTGTGCTACACACAGACCCATTGCCACGGCGACCGACTGACAACACTCTGCATTAGCCTACAGAGCAGAGATAACATTCAAGCGTATCAAGATCCCACACCGAAAAACACACATTTCGCACAAAGAGAGCAGAGCATTCAGTCGCGTTGTATTTTATGCTTGATGTTTATTTTGTGATTATTAATAAGTGGTCGCCTCAACACGTCGGTGCTTTATTACTTAGTATAAGCAGCTCTTCTGCTCATGGTCTGTCAGAGAATAGGTGTGTGAGTCGCCTTATTTTAGTGTTAACTGAACAAAAACACACGAAATTATGCAGCACGTGTCCATGCTACAACGGTGAAAGCCAAGCTAGCGTAACTGACCTACTTTTTGTGACCTAGCATAGCCTTCGCTATTTTGTTTTTCTATTTAAAACTTTTTGTTGACCTGTGAAATATGACATCCTTAGACCTTACTAACTATTATAGTGTTGACAATTAATACTGCTGTTAATTTTCTTTTGCATATCTTTTATATGTCACGCGTACATGTAAGATTTAGCGTGTCATGTTCACAACTTGACGGCTAAAAACAACGGCAGTCGTAATCGGTGAGTGTGCAGCATCTTTTGCCCTCCAGCAGGAAGCTGGGGGCGGGACGTTGGATGCGTGACGTCTCACTTCAACTCGTCTGTACTTACTACCGACTGTATTACGTTACACTTCAGAGAAGCTAGCTAATATTCATGTTTTAGCCATGAGACGAGTGTCAGCTGCTGTTTTTTTTTTATTTTTTATTGGGCTGGCGCCTGTTTGTGTGTTCTCACGACTAATCACGACATTCAGGCACGACTCCGTGTCATATTTTACAATCTGTCTTTGTGTCTGACTCCTAACCAACTCACCGTGGCATCTGTTAGTATCTGTGCTTTTTTGAAGACGTTTCCTGATTACGGCTTCGCCAAAAACTCTCGGCAGAGTCTTGCTTTGACAGCTCGAGAGCCCTTTCACATCCGATTCGAGTGCGAGCGCTTAAGTCAGCGCTCGTCCCAGACTTTTAATTTCACAGGCCATTCAGACAGCTCCTGCGAGCAAAAGGATTTTTCTTTCAATCTGTGACAGGAGGAACATTTGCAGCAGACAGCCTTTCAACACCAGGCTGCCATTATGTATTCAATGTCAAACTCACAGCGGTCCTCCAGCTCAGGCTCTTTGAGCACACACTGCAGACGTGTGAAAGTGCTGCGAGGTTCTGATGTCGACTGCCTCGTCTGCATGTCTGTGTCGTAGCTAATACTGTTGTTGGAGTATTTCTGCTAAATGAAAGAGCTGATGAAAACATCTGTCAACAGACATGGATCTAAAACCTCTTAATTATAAAATGTTCCCTCGGTTGTTGTGAATACTGGTTTTAAGCTTTTTTGTTGTTGTTTGTTTTTCTGGGTCAGTTGGGACTTCATTCTGTGTTTTCTGCCCCAAAGTTGAAGAGGGGATTTTGCTTTTCTTTTCTTTTTTTTTTTTAACTCGCCTTTTATTTGCTGCTGACGTGAACAGAAAGCAAACTGCGCTAAGCTTTTCACTTCTTACACTTTTGTTTAGAGCTCAGGAACTTTTAATTCTTCTGTAAATTTCCACTTTGATATTTTCACAAGTTATCTGAAAAAACAAACAAACAAAAAAACAGAACTACTTTCAGTCCTTAAAACTTATGTAAATTATGTTTAACAGAATGGAGTTGGTGTTCTTTTTAATATTTTATAATCTTACACTTGCCAAAATCACTTTAGCTTTAAGATGTTTCAAAATTATGTAAAGGGAGTTTCAGCATGAGATGCTTTCAGGATTGCTTGCATTTCTCTTCTTACAGCAGAGTTGAAAATTTACTAGCCTGACCCGGTTTGACCCCTGGGCTAAATTACCTAAAGGAATGGAAATCTTTGGAATGTTTTTTTTTTTTTCCTCTTTTCCATTTTAAATAATCCATTTTAACATTTTAGCTTCTGAACAATATCAGAAACGAATCGACTTTCCGGTGTCTACAACATTTCCTCCATCTGTAAATAAGTACGTCTGTTGACCCTGGTGGTCTTCTGTTGCCTTATCACACCTACTCCTAAACGTCCTACCGCTTATTTTTAGGATTAAGAAAATGTTTTAAAGTCACACGTCGGCGTCGGTAGTTTTCCCAGCCCCTAATCTACATGAGCAAAACAAACCCTAGACTTAAAGGAAATGGTCGGAGTGGAAAAGCGACACACTTCAGCGGTCCGACGCTCGTCTGCATCGCAGTCGCAGGATGGTGGAGAATCATAAACAAGCAAAGATGACAGGAGTTCTTCCCCTTTTTTGTTTTCTTTTTTTTTTTTTTTTTAAGCGCATGCCCGGGCCACACACATGCACCCAGGAGCCGGGGATGAATGCTTTGAGGTGTTTGGTAGTCAGCTCTGATCCTCGCTAATGCTGCCAGTATTCTGGCTGTTCTCTTCGCTCGGCTTTGTCTCTGCAGGGGCTCTAAGTTCTGAGCGCCAGAGAACTAAATCACACATACACACACACGCGCACACACACACACACACACACACACACACACAGAGGTGGAAGCGGCACCTCTTCCACAGATCTATTCTCTTTTCTAAACCCTTGAAGGGAAGAAAAAAATAAGCATGCGTGTGCCTGTGTGTGTGTGTGTGTGAACGATCCAAAGAGACTTGAAGACAAAACTCTTGTGTTTTTAAATCCCGACAAGCACAGCTATCTGGTGCCTTCCTCTAGTTTTGTCTCTCTTCTTTTTTTTTTCTTCTAGTTTATAATAGAAGACATGAAGCAGCAGCAAACCAACAAACACAGCAACCTGCACCGTGAAGACCAGCACATCACAGTGGAGGAGCTGTGGAAGGGATGGAAGAACTCCGAAGGTAAAGCAAAACTTATTCAGGACAAACCCGTTCTGTCCTGAGCGAACACTCTGCTTTCTGTTATTTTATTTTGCACAAACAGGTGCGAGACGCCAACGCTAATGTTTTTTTTTTTTACATCGTCAAACATAAAACACAATCACTCGAGACAAACTGATGATAAAAAAAACATCATCACGCCTCAATACAGTAAATCGCACAAAGAAAAGGGCGTGGTCGCTTTCAGGTAAAACACCCGCTGAGACGTCGTCCCCGTAACACACTCCGGCGTGTTCCTGCACTTCAGGCGGAACCTGTTCGGTTTGTTTGCCTCTTAGTCGACACCGACGGAGCGTCCTCTTACACCAAAGACATAATTTAAGAAAATCTTCAGCGGTGTGAGCTTGAGAGAAGAAACCAACAGCGGTCGTAAAACAAACCCGGGCAGTTGGATCACTTTTCAAGGAAACATATTATATAAGAATAGTTCCAACAATCTGGTTACATAAGTCTGCAAACTCTTAAACCCGTAGTTTGTCGAAACACCTTTTGCTTTTGCTTTTGTTTTTGTTTTTTATTTGTAGGAATTTCAGGGTATTTCACTCACACTGCCTTGCAGATTTCATCCAGTGCAATTATTTCATCACCACTAGTAGAAACATTTATCCGAGAATGGATACAGATCTGTTTTGATAGTATTTCAGTCTTTATTTTATCTGTGGATGTACAACTTTTTTGTCGTAGTTATCGTCATCATCATCATTCTGATTGACTTCAGACTTATTTTTTAATGCTAAAGACTTAAATTAACACTGATGTGCAGTGCTGCTTGATTTTATCAGGAAATTCAACAGAACTTTTTTTTTTTTTTTTTTTTTTTTTTAAAAAAAAAACCCCAATTTTTTTCCTTTTTTTTTTTTA